CTGGAAGGAAACAGATAAACCATTAATTAGAAATTGGCACTCTAGAATTTGGGACCATTTGATTTTGTCATGATCAGTTGCAATTCAGCAGTCTCTCTTTCTAATCTCCCTTTGAAATTCCTTTGTAAGAGAAGTGCTACTCTTAGATCAGCAACTGAATGCCCTGGAAGGTTAAAATGTCCCCCACTGGTTTTTGAATGTTATGGTTTCTAATAGTGGTAGAAAGAGTCAAGTAGCACCTTTAAAGACTAACAAAATTGTGATAGGGTTTATCCTTTTGTGAGTCACTGCTCACTTCTTCAGTCTTATTTCCATTTATACTTTAAATCCTCCTGGACTGATTCCTCCTGTACCAAACTGAGACCTAGGTTTCCAGGCTCATTACTAATGCTGATATCTCCACACCTCTGCATATCACACCTAATCCAATCATGCTTGCTATTGCCATTCGGCTTATCTTTAGCATGTATTTCCAAAGTAATTGGGTTATGGTCAGCAAATGTTGAGGGGAGGATTTCAGCTTCCAACATATCGCTTGTCATAGTAGATGAAATCCAACACATGTCTATTCTGGACCAAGAATTGTGTCTTGCAGAGTAAAAAGTGAAGTCTTGTTTATGTGGATTTCTGACTTTCCATGCATCAACACAATTGTGTTCTTCCATTAATTGGTAAAATACTGCAAGAAGTTCATTTCCTTGTTTCAATTTTCCTTTGGTCGATTTTCTATCTTGTGTTTTATCAAATACTGCATTAAAGTAACCAATCATACATATTTCAGCATAATCCTGTTTAGAAATCAAATCTTGCAGGGATTTATAAAAAATTTCTTGAAGTTGATTTGGAGCATAAATATTCAACAGTAAAGTTTTCTTATCTTGTCTTTGTATTTGAACCATCAGAATTCTTCCATCTTGTGAAGCATATATCATTTCAGGTTGTAAATGCTCCTTTACATAGGTCACTAGGCCTCTTTTTATCTTTATCTGAAGCAATAAATGTTTTCCCAAATTTTTTAACTAGATATTTTTGATCTGCCATTTTAATATGAGTCTCTTGAAGACAAACAATGTCAGTTATTTTTTTCAGCTGTTGAAAAATCCGTCTTTTTTCTGGGGTGAGTTTAATCCATTTACATTTATTGAAATAATCTTTATTTTATTTCTATTCATTTTGTGATTGAATCTGTGATTGTAAGTCCTGTTGTTCTCTCAGTTGTTTCCGCGCAAACCTCTTTGCATTTTTGTTCTCTGGTTTCTTGTTTGTGGGTAAAGTTGTCACAGTTGTTCCTGATGCTCCTTGTAGGGGGTCTTCTTCCTCCTTCTTCTGAATTTTCTGTGTTAACTTTATCATCTTGAAGTTCCACTTCATACGTCTTTAAAAAGTCTTCTGCCTTGAATGTCAAATTAATTTTGTGTCTTTTACGTCTGAAGGAGAAAATTAGGCCTTCTGGAAGGTCCATCTATAAAGAATCTCATTCTTCCTCAATATCTCTGTAAGATTTAGATATTCTCTTCTTTTTCCCCTAACTCTCCAAGGGATTTCCTTTAAGATCTTTATTTCAGTGTTGTCTATCTTCAGTGGATTTTTGTTTGATGTCTTTAAGATTTCATCTCTTAGGACCCTTTTATGAAACCTTACATGCACCTCTCTAGGTAACTGATTTCTTCTGGCATACCCCGAATTCATCCTATAAACAGTGTCAATTTCTTCCAGAACCTTTTCCATCTCTTCTGTCCCCATATATTTTCCTAGAATATGTCCCATCTTCTTTCTAATATCTTCATCTTTTTCTTCTGGAATATTTTGGAATCTCAATATAAACGCTGCTCTGTCTATTTGGAGTCTCATCAAATCCTGTTCCAGAAGAGTCTGTTTAGAATCCGTTGCTGGAAGTTTAATATTCATTTCTTCCATTTTATCTTTCATCTTTTCAGTTGATTTGTTTAATTCCGTTATCTTTTGTGTATTATCTTCTATTTGTTTCTGCAGCCCTTCCATTGTTGCGTTATTTCTTTCATAGGCTCCGGTCACACGGGCAGGAAACTGCGGGGGGGGGGAGTGTGGCTGTTTGCCCCGAGGCAAACTAACGCACGGTTAAGCGATCAGACCTCCTGTGGTGGTTCCGTGGGTAGGGAGAGGTGCCGATCACAGGACATGCCTGCGTGCAACGAAGAAGCACGCGGTGCGGCAAACTGGTTTTCTTTTTTTGTGTACACGACAAATGCGCATGCTCCGTTGGGTGCGTGTGCGCATCCACGAAGACTTGGGGGGGAACCTTTTTTCGCAAGGGGACATGGGCGGGCGCCGGTCCACGGAAGCACTACGCTTCCCAGATGTGCCGGTGAGATCGCGCCCGGAAACTCCGCCTGTCTTCCGTCTCTCTTGCGTGGCTAATGTTCCGTGTGATTGCAGCCATAGATTCTTTAATTGGGTCCACAGCTTCAGAGATTGCCATCTTAATTGTCTCCTCAATTAACACTTGTATATCTTTGGTTATAGCAGATGGTAGACTGGAAGCCACTGATTTAAGTACACCTGGTAAACCGGAGGGTGGTTTAACAGGTCTATTGCTCCCAGACATTTTGCTCCAAGTTTAAAATAGTAAAGGGAAAAAAAGAAAAAACCCTCTTCTTTTAGCAGGCCACAGTTTTCTTTCCCTCCCAAGACAAGTTAATGTTTATGCAACAAGGTTGTTTTCAGAACACCATGTACCATTATTTTTTAAACAGCCAAATTAATCTTGTATAGACCCAATATCTCTCCACAGCTATGTTATTATAGGAACAGAATTCTAGAGTTCACTTCCTCCCTATTTGAACCTCACCAATATAACACAGACAATACAGTCAAACACCAAAGGTGAAGGGCAGAAACCAAGTGTTGTTGTTGTTGTTGTTGTTCAGTCACACAGTCGAGTCCGACTCTTCGCGACCCCATGGACCACTTTAGTCTAATTGTGAGACTGAAGTGTTGGTAAAGGGGTTGACAAGTCAAACCAAAGAGTTAATAGTCTTACAGATACCGTTCAGTTGAAGCAGAATTCCCTTTTAAATTTTGTAATTCCCAAACGAAATACAGTATCTTCTTGATTCCAAGCAACAGAAAACCTGTAAAGTTTTAAAAGGAGCAAACAACTCCAAGCTCTACAGCACAAAGGGGAAGTCTTCTTCTGGTTATAATTCCAAACTCCACCCCACAAAGGGGAAAAATAGGGTACGGTGCAAGGTCTACAATCTTCTTTTAGTTATGGTTTCTTTAAGCAGTAGACTCACAGCAATCAAATCTTCTAATGTCCTGGCCCCACTGCTGGACCTCCTGATGGCACTGGTATTTCTGGCCACTGTGTGACACAGAGTGTTGGACTGGATGGGCCTTTGGCCTGATCCAACATTGGCGTCTCTTATGTTCTTATGTTCTTAAAGAACGTTCTTTATTTCAAGCCCTTAGAAATAACCACTTAGCATCGCTTAATTTCTCTATAGCCGGCCACTGATAAGAAAGGGATGGGGGGGGACCTCCCACCTCACCCTTAAGTAGTTTTAAAGTTTAAATGGGCTAATGTCCCTGTTCTGGAGAGGAATAATGGTCTTTTAATTAGCAGAGTCATTTACTCACGTTGAAATTCAGGAAGGTTTCTAACCCCCCCCCCCCCAATTGGGAAGCGACAGCTAGGCGCTCATGTCGCTATGAGCATTCTCCGATGTCCTCTGCGTTGGGGGCGATCCTGAGCTTCAACCCACATGGCGCCACGGTACGGGGAGCCCGAATCAAGCCCCTTGTTCTGCACCCCTCTTTCCGAGGGAGCAGTGTGGTCTCGGGAGCCCCCGGACCTTAAAAAAGAACAAAGGAGTCGGCAAGCTCGAGGAGTGCACCTCGGCTTGTCCGCTCCACCACACTGCAACCCGGAACTTCAGGTTGCACTCCTCAGCCATAGCTTGGGGGGTGATGCTGGACTCAGGCCTACTGCTGGGATAGGTGGTCTGGGGCTAGATAGCTAGCTGTGACCTTTCCTGTCCAGAAGAGATTGGGCCACTGTGGTGCTTGCCCTAGTTATATCTACATTACATTAGGTTGCTACTACATCTACATTAGGTTACTACAGTGTGCTCTGAGCAGGGCTGCCTTTAAAAGTGTTTGGAAGCTTCAACTGGTGCAGAATGCTGCAGCCAGGATGTTGAGAGGCGTGGATCACTGGGAGCATATCACTTCAGTTTTGGCCCATGTATACTGGCTCCCAATCTGTTTTGGGATACCATTCAAGTAGCTGGTTTTGAACTTTAAAGCCTTGCATGGTTTGGGATGGGCATAATTTAAGGACTGCCTACTCCTATATGAATCTCCTATATGGACCACTTTTGAGGACCTGCTTCAAGTGCCTTTACTTTGAGATTAGATGGGTGGCAACTAGAGGGAGGGCTTTCTCGGTTGTGGCACCAAAATTATAGAATTCCCCAGGGATATTCATCTGTCCCCTTCTATCAGTGTTTTCCACCAGTGGATACAATGTTCTTTTGTTTTGTCTGGCATTCCTTCAGTGACCCATCTTTCCTGCATTATGTTTTAAATGTTGTCTCTATTGTGTATATTGTTTTTGGCTCCAGTTAGTTTATGATGTATTTTATAATGCTTTGTTTTAATTATTAACCCTCTTGGTGGCCTTGATTGGGTAGAAAGGCAGGGTATAAATTTTGTAAATAAAATTTAAAAGGAAATTTGGGACAATTAATTAACTATTGTATGGCAGTGTGTGTAGTATAGCCAGGAGATCCTAAGATTGTCTGGCAGCCAGAAGTTCTAGCTCTTAAGCATTATGCACCACTAACTGGCAAGCTCGACTTTTAAGACCAGAGACTTTTCAGAGGTGGTTTGCCATTGCCTGCCTCTGTGTCACAACCCTGGTATTCCTTGTAGGTCGCCCTTCCAAATAGTAGCCAAGCTGCTTAGCTTCCAAGAGCTGACAAAAGAATATTTTCAGTGTTTTGGGTTTTATTGCTATAATTAGATTCAGAAGAAATGAGGCCAGAATCCAGAGGATCACTGCATTTGTTATGCACAAACAGAAGCAAGCATTTCACATCTTTTTAAGTGTTTGTGTCTCAGAAATCTGTACCAACTAACATTACAGTGGCTTTTCCACGGAATTATATTATGGTTAGAACATAAAGGGTTTCAGAGCAGGAATTTCCAAATGCACTTACTAATTTCCTAGGATTTTCTCCCCATTTGTTATCTTCCTAATGTTTCCCCCCCCCCCCAAAGTCTTCACTCACTAGATATTTACCTAATATGTTTAAAAGGTAACCCAACTATTGTTTATGCTGTCTTTTCCCCATTAACTTGTATACATGGATCTGCTCCAAAAGACCTATTAAAGCCCCACAATGAGCCTGTATTAGCTAAAGGGCCTAGACTAGCAAAATAAAATGTTTGTTCAACTGGTCTCCAAGTTATACTTCAAACTGTTTTTGATATTTCCCCAAGTTTCCAAAGGTAAGTTGCCAACTACCCTGGAAGAGCTGCTGTTCAAGATTAAACCATTGGATTGATGAGCTGGTGTCATGGTTCTTTGGCCATAGACCTTATTGAGTATATAGTATGGTGTTAATTTTTTTTAGATTATCACCCTGGTCCACAGGTCTGCAGAGTAAACAACTGGTAAAATTCTTTCATTCCCCCGATCCCCACCCAGGTTACTGAAACTGGACTCTGAATATATGATAGTTTAACATCTACTTCTGGTTTATAATCCCTCCCCCCTCCCACCGTCATTATTGTAGGAACTGTCTTGCCAGCTGGATCAACTGAGAACTAAGCTACAAGAGGAACTTCATCAAGCCAAGAACAACTATAGCCTTCTTCAAGTGGACCTTGAGAAAGTAGGCATTTTGCATATGAAACACACAAACACAGCTGGTGAGGAAAGAGACTGAAGCATTATATGCTTAATTGCACAGAATACTAGAAACATTCAGCATTCTTTAAGTGGCTGTAAACAGAACTCTTATCTATTTATGCTTTTCTGTTCACTTCAGTCTTGGGGGAATGCTACGCACACACACACTCAGATTTATCACTTCAGTGGAAGTTGGAGGAGGCCTTGCTCAGGCAGAAACAGCATTTGCTCATCAGAGGTTCCACATGAACCAGGACTCCCTGCATCAGGGTGTAGAAGTGTGGTGAGAAATAGAACTAAATAACAGTCATGGATTAACACTTAGGGTGTACTTGAAGTGTGGTGAGAAATAGACAGAACTAAATAACAGTCATGGATTAACACAGTTTACTGTGGATCTCACCTTACCTAATGTCATACAGTCGTAAGGGGCTGCCAGCTTTATGGTCAGTAGCATGGATGAATATGGTCTGCAGTACTAGTAGTGGCATGTACAAGTCACAGTCAGCCTCATTCGTCTCTAGAATTATGTTGGACTATAGCTCCAGTATAGAGCCTATGCTTGGTGGGGAGTTAGGATTGTGTTGGCTTGCTCTCCTCTCCCCTACCACCATGCCTTGCGCACTCTCCTGGGCCTGTGTGACTTTCGTGGGCAAATTAATGTGATGTCTAGTGAGCAAATAACAGTTTGGGTGGGCCAGTGCTATCTAAATTTTTGCACTGTATGTAGAAAAAATTAATTTCTGTAAAATTTACATGGGTCCGAAGGTAGAAGTAGTGAATGTGGATTGTCTGTGGGCCACTATATGGATTTGGTTCTGTGCTTCTCAGATCTGATTTGTGATTGTTTAGGAAACCGTTCTTGCACAATTTATCTCTGGAAATTTCTCTGAAGATGTGCTTCCCATCTTGATTAATTTAAGCAACAGCCTGGACAATAATCATGAAGGGTGAAGGATGTGTTTTTCTAAATAGTTATGCGTAATTAAAACATGAAGTTGTTCTATTCTGCCAGTGCCCAGGTATAGCAAGAACATTGGTGCATTATTTCTTATTACATGTGGCCACAATTGAAACCTGCCATCTTTTCCTTACAGATACGATTGGAGAAAGAGCAATTGGGAAAAAATGCCAGTGACTTTACACTGAAATTAAAGGCAGCAGATCAGGCAATGGAAACAATGCAGTTGAAGGAAAATGAGCTCAGAAGAAACTTTGAGGTAAATAAAATTCAGAGGACTATTTGTATGCATGGTATGACATGTTGCCATGACCCTTCATGGGATAGAAGGACAAGTCCTTTTCTGGGGCAAGTGATGCTCTGTCTTCTTGGTGCTTGGGGGGGGTCAACAGTGGGAGGGCTTCTAATGTCCTGGCCCCACTGCTGGACCTCCTGATGGCACTGGTATTTCTGGCCACTGTGTGACACAGAGTGTTGGACTGGATGGGCCTTTGGCCTGATCCAACATTGGCGTCTCTTATGTTCTTATGTTCTCTCCATCTTGTATACCCATACGTCAACTGTACAGCTGCCAAAGTTGCTCTGGTTGGAGCAGTCAATGTTGCATCCAGTCAAGAATTGCTTACTGCCAGGCATCTGCTGCATTCGCTCTGACTGCTTGCAGCAGCTCAGTTGTTCCTGAACAGCCAGTTAGGCCAGGAACTGTCCTTTTTCCCAGCTATGTGGACATTTCCCCAAAGGCCAGATACCTCAGCTGGTGCTGTAGGGACAGGGAAGAATTGTGTCATTGGTAACATGCTCTCACCAGCAGTGTGCTCTCAAGCTGTTTGTGACTGTCGTCTCAAAGCATGGCATACACAGTTGCATCACCCAACACTGCTGCTGGGTGACAAACGGAGGCACCTGGGGAGTGCAAGCAAGGTGAGAGGAGCACCTTGTTGCTTCCTTGCATACAGGCTGCTGACGAAGCGCTGCTGCTCTGCTTCTGTGAGAGTCCTGTGAGCCTCCTGGTCCAGCGTTCATACTGGATCCTCTTAACGATAATCAAGTAGACTGCAAATCTGGTTGCATTCTCCGTCCACTTAAGCCACTTGACCATGATGATATTCTAGTACTGCTTTAAAAAGAATCTGCTAATGACCCTTATGCTTGTGCTTCAAAGCATGTTAAGAAGTCTTTAACCGCAGGATGCTCATATGTCACATATCCCAAATTTCCAGAAAACAATGATCTTACTTATTTGGGTGTTTGTGGGGAATAGTGGCACAGCCGCTTGCCTTCCCCCCCCCCTCCTCATTACTCCTCCCTCCCTCCCTCCCTCTCTCTCTCTCAATGGCTGGAAGGGCTGGGGGGGAGACGAACAGAAGCAACAACAAGTTTAATCTTGCTCTCAGGCTGATTTGCTTAAATAGCTGGAAATACAAACCTGCCTTGCCAGCAAATTTTCAGCTTATGCTTCCCATCCTGGTTGTCCCTTCTCTTAAATTTGGCTTTGGCACGCTGGTCCCCATCTGCTAGTAGTAACTAGATGGATGATTGAGGGCTCAAGACCAACAGAGCCCTGCCAATGCCATCTGTTATCTTAGTGGCTCAGGAGTGGGTGGCGTGTGCACGTGCGTGCCATTTTTTTAAAAAAATTATTTTCCTTCCCGAGAGAGTGTTTAAAATGAGTGGGCCAGTTCTTAAAAATACATTTTGACATTCATGCAAAACTGAGATGGTAAAGTGTAGATACATGAGAACCATCCTTTCAGCATGTAGTACGAAGGAGGTCTGTATTGCCTTTTGATTCCCCAAATCCTGCTCTCTTGTGCAGAAAGCCTGTCCCCGAAACACTCCTGAGTTCTAACCTTGACTCAGGCAGTAACTATGCTCTGAGACCTTTGGCGGCTTCTCTTGGTTTCTCGCTTCCGCCGAGCTCTGAAAGGGCCGTGCAATGGCTGGTCGTTCTCTAATGGTTCTTGCCCTGCAAAAGCCTCTTCCTGGCATAATTCCTTATAGGTTAGAGGTTTCCTTAGCATATGCTGCTCAGCAGCCATTCCAAGTGCACTGCCCGTCAGCTGTACATTTGCCAGTGTGATACTATTCTGATGCTGTCCTCTAATAGTCCTCTCTAGTAGGTAAGAAAGTATAGGACTATAATCTACATGTAGCTTACGTCCAAGCAATTTTTGCACCCCCACAGTGCATTTTAATGGGGATAGCAGAACATAGCTTTCTGGGAAATGTGGAAAGGCCTGCCCTCTGTGCCGCTTAGAGGGCTTTTAATTATCACTCACAATTAAATTATTCAGGCACCTTTGGCCGTATTTTCCTATTCAAGTAAGAAAAAGAACGCTAAAAGGACCTCTGAATCACTGGCCTGTCTCAACCCCCAGTCTGAAAAATTAAGGACCAATTTTCTTAAAGAGAGGGGATGATGATTTCTGCCAATTAAGACGCTGAACTGCAGGCTGTGGAAGGTCAGTAGTTCAGCAGTTCGAGACCCAAGTTGCCGTATGACAGAGTGAGCTCCCGTCTCTAGTTCCAGCTCCTGCCAACCTAGCAGTTCGAAAGCAAGAAATTGCAAGTAGATAAATAGGTACCACTTCGGTGGGAAGGTAACAGCGTTCCATGAGCCTTGGTGTTTAGTCATGCTGGCCACATGACCACGGAAACGTCTTCAGACAGCGCTGGCTCTTCGGCTTTGAAACGGAGATGAGCACCGCAACCCTAGAGTCGGACTCGACTGGCTTTCGAGCAAGGGAACCTTTACCTTACCTGCCACACACACACACGGACTGCAGACCCCCCCCCCCCCCCGCGGGTCTGGGCCTCCCCCGCCCACAGGAAA